AGTGTCATTAGTTCCATTATATAGATGAGGTAAGTTAGCGAAGAGAGACTATGGGTACGCATACACATTCACAGGACTCGATCTATGACCATGTGACTTGCTTTAAGCAGAATGACTATAGATTGGCTCCCAGTTGTGCAGACACTCGCTGGTGCTGGGGCCCATGTGAGGAACCAGATCTAAGTAAGTCAGGGTAGGGAGAGGGTGGGCAGATTTGCAAGGGTTTGGTGGGTCTATGGAGGGTGAGCCTGTGTGGGGGAAGAGTTATTCTTCCAGAGTTGGGGGTAAAAATAACCCAGGTAAGGTCAGGGGAGGCAGTAATAAGAATGCAGCCCTGGGGCTGGGGTCAGCAACTGGTCTTTCCCAGCCCTGAGGCTACACTCCAAACCTGTACAGACATTCATTAGATCAAGCTAACCCACTCCCAATCTAAGTGAGTTCATCTTCTCAGGTGAACTAAGTTAGATTGGGACATCCATTTTTCACCTGATCTAACCTCCCCAAACATCTGTACAGACTGGTGCTCAGATTGACCTAACCTAAGTTAGGTCTATCTAAGTGTAATGTCTACAACCAAGGTTTCTCCAGGACCAGGCAATACTCCAGTACTAGTCCAGTAACTAGGCGATTCTGCCTGTATATATACATATCTAATATTTATATGATATACATGGAGTTGATATTCATCTTATAAATGATGTACATCATGTATGCTTAAGTGCCTTACCTGCATTCTGCCTTCTGCCCGCTAACCTGTCACTGTTGGCAGTTATTTTACATTCCAAACCCTTGAGGAGCTTCACATAACTTTGATTTATTAAAAATCATCAACCATAGAACTGTGTAGTTTATTCCTCCTAGATGTAGATTTTCCCTGCAAGAAAAGATTTTCTCCTGGCATAGTGACAGGTAAAGGCAGTGAAGGCCAAAAACAAGAGTACTGTACCACTGGAAGGGATCAATTCCTCATAAAGCACAGTGCTTCTATCCCTGGTAGCTCCCAAGGTATGGAGTCTTAAAATGGCAAACTATGAACTGGGAATATTGGATCATTTTTTGAAGTTTCTAAAAAGTTTGTTGTTTTCCTGGAGGGATATGAACCTGGTATCAATAAAACTGTGAAACAAAAACATTTCTTAAAATAAATATTTTCTACTGTAAGCCTCTAGGCAGGGACAGAAAACTCTCTCATTACATATTTGTACAGAGTACCTCAATAGGAGTCCCAAGTCCTGTGAGGGCCCATGGTGTTGCCATAATAAACAACAACGGTAATTACAGCATAAGAATGAGTTGTATTATCACTTATTTTGGCTGTTTCTGAGTTAACCATTTCTGAGTAATGAAGTTGCCATGGCCCAAGCAAATATACTCTTGTTATTATATTCCACTATTATGCATTTCTTATATACCTTGGTATGTGATCTGGAATTCCTCACATACACCCACATACTGTCTTTGGACTTGACTTGATTTTTAAGTCACAATGTACAAGTACAAATTGTACAATACCTTATATATATTTATTGCAACCATTAAAAATGGCAATGTATTATTTATTATTATTTAGTCAAAACTAAATAATAGTGATTTAGTAATTATTACTTTTATATAATTGTTGCTGCAGTACTGTATCTTAGTGCTTCAGGTTACTACTGTGGCACCATACAGAACTATGATCAAATTAGCTCTCAAAAACTAAGACAATCAAAATCTGTGTTTTCACAGCTCTTTAGTTGTGTCTTTAACTGTAGACTTAAGAAAACCACAAAAATAACAAGAAAATGCAGTCTCCTAAGAGTACATAGTGTATTCCACCCTTCTCTCAAAGACCACATCACCTCTAAGAATAAAATGGCTGCTGTGTTGCACAATACAGGTCAAGATTTTTATGAATATAAAGTAGTAATATACAGATAATAAAAGAGATTACAAATTCATAGCTACAGGTGTTGGCACTGGATTTATGATCCAGATACCTTGTTTCAAGGGGACCTATAAAGACCGACCACAACCTCTCTATTTGGTAATAGGCACATTTTATTGATACACAGTGATAACAGATAAGAATAATGCAAACAATTCTATATCTACCAGTCCTAGAGCTGTCACAGAGGGAAGGTATGTCTGGCCAGTATGCGAGGTTCACCCAGAGGTTCTCTCCTGAACATCATATGTCAGCAGCCTGGAGGTCAAAGTCCAATGCCCACCCTCCCCAAGTGGGGTGGGTGAGATGGGCTGGTGGTGTTCCCTCTGTCCATAGTGGCCCTGTGTTCCACTCACAGGGTTGCCTTGCTGCTCTGAAATCCTTCCTTTTGTATTCTTTCTCTTCTCTGATGATGTTTCATCTCCAGGCATTGTAGATTGGCTTTCCTGTGGTCATCATACTGTCCACGTTCTGTCCTGTCAGTATATTCCTTTGTTTCACAAACCCATCACATGTACACATCCTAATTTAGGCTTTTACTGGGCCTCCCAATTTGGTCTATTTACCAAAACTGGAAATCCCAAGGGCCCTGCAGTTTGGCACTGTGACCTAATGCCAGTGCTGCAGAGTCCTTTATCTCTGTTGGGTACATTGTTCGTGTTATGGAACAATGTGGTACATGTCTTTAATTTTCCAGCCTGTGTGGTTTCAGACACAGTGGGCCTTGAAGGAAACTTTTTCACAAGCAAGCTTTTAGAAATCAATGAATCCTTACTGTTCCCCTGGACCATTGTTCTAATGCAATCTACTGGACATATAAGCCAATTTCCAAAAAGCAAATCTCTAAATACCATTTTCTAGGCATCAATAGGAACCTCAACTGTGAAAAGTTAATTTTTGAAGCAATTAATGTATTATTATTGACTCCCATTGTCTAGATTTCAGTTAGGGTTTGAAACATGGTTCAAAATAGTGCAAATTATTGGAACCATCTGTTTATATTTATCCCCTCCCATTTCAAACTGCACCCACTCCTTCCACAAGAGCTTTGTCCTGATGCTGTTAGATAATTGGTATGTCTTGTGATGGGTAGATTGTGTTTCAGAAGAATTAAACTATAAGGTCCCTTGAACAGATTCATTTAAAAACTCCAAAGGATCCCAACAATTGTCCCTCCTGCCATACCACATATGCATAGTAGGTGGCACAATTTTGGGATTGGGGATCAGATACTAATTGTATACTTTCTGCTTGCCAGTGTAGGAGGAGCCCAGGATCATGATCTCAAACTCCCCCTGCATTGGCAAATCAAAAGCTGGGTGTCTGCAGGTCTGGGTAAGGACTGACTATCAGCTGATTGTAGGCTCCAGCTCTAGACCCCACAGGGGCTGGTTTAAGACCCTTGTGTGAGCCCTGCCTGGAGCTGACAATGAACTGATTGTCAACTCTGGCCCCTGACTTGCCTCACATTTAATTTAATGTGCCATACAAATCAGCCACAACAATATTCTACATTTTATGTAGAACATTTTTATGTCTAGTTTGCCATTTTATGGCACCTTAAGTTGGGTGTACATGTAGCACCTTTGCCATGTATGCCATGACTAACATGTTAATTGTGGCATAAATGTAATGTCTAGAGCAGGCCTAATAGAATCAGAATAACCCAAGGCAGATCATAGGAACATAGGTTGTACAACTGGAAGAGACTTTCTGGGCCATTAATTCCAGGCCTGAGCTATCCAGGCAACTACTTCAAATTGTCTGAATAAGCTCCATCTTAAAAGTTAGGTTTCGTTTCCACAATGCCTTCTATTCAAATGCAGTTTTGAAACATATGGCCTCTGACAGTTAGAAACCTTCTTCTACTGTCCACCCTTGGTCTATTTGTTAACCATTTTATATCCATTTGTTGTTATGCCCATAATATCCTTTGCCTTAAAACTGACCTGTTCCTCCTTGATGTTGCCCTTCTACTGTACAAAAATGACTGTATCCTTTCTTAACCTTCATTTTGCATGGTACAAGAAGTCAAGCTTTAACAGCCTCCTTTCATAAGACAGGTTCTCCATTACCCTGATAATCCTAACAACTCTTCTCTGCACTTTTTTCATCTTTCTTGAACATGGGTGACCAGAATTCTACACAACATTCTAGATGAGGTCCTAACATTGCCTTTCACAATAGCATTTTTACTCCCCTACCCCTAAAGAATGCATTAAAGTGGTAGAGTGCTGGTTCCCCTGTTATTTCAAACCATATATAGCTTTCATTATGTCAGAAGATTATCTCATTACAGTGTGTCAGTCTTATAACAGGGAGGGAAAACATAGAAAACAAAATGCTAGAAGGCAAAGGAACAGAGTCAGAGTGAAACACAATCATAGCAGGTTTGTAAGTTCACAACTAACTTAACTGCCAATACATGACTATGTTACCCTTGTTATATAGAACTACAGCTAAAAACACCATAAAACAAGTAAAGCTTTGTAACCCATGGACCCTTCTGAAACTCCAATGCATGTGGCTGGCCTGTTTCTGCTTCTGTTGTCTCCAGATTTGCTCAAATAAGACTCAAGCCAAAATCTAACCTTGGATTCTCTTGGAAGCTTTTCCAAATATTTCTTTTGCCCCCTACCCTTTTTTGCCTTGCCTTCCTTTATCACTCCATGTAAACCAAGTTAACTGAGCTTTCCACTCAATTGTCTTTCAGTTTCAGAGATTTATCTGAAGACTATAGTCAGGGATAGCATGTTTTGCCAGGCCCTGGAGGCACAGACAAACAACTGTACATTCTCGCTTTTTAATGGTGCACTGACAATGCAGTGATACGCTAACGTCCCATAATAACATGTAATTGGGATGCTGCCATCCATTAAGCTATATCCAGTGTTGTCAGAAATAGCAGAGTCATTCCAAACTCTGTTGGCTGGAGCCGAACCTAAGCTCCATGTGCTGGATCAGAAGGACTTTTCCTGTGCTGTTTTCAAAGAAGGAATGGAACTATGCTGCTAATTATATATTTTTTATGTTTCCTCCATGTTCCTCTTCTTGCCCAACATCCACAACATAGCTTTAGCCCAACATGCCATTTAGACCAAAGTCATGGATTAATATGTGATGAGTGCGCTGCTGGGTATGCAGGACCACGCTGTGAGAGGTAAGCAAACACCCTAAAGTTCTCTTTAGCAATTTCTCTTTTTAGGTCTAACACTGTTATCTGTTACCTGTTAATTATTGCTCTCATTGCATGAAAATGAAAATGTTATCAATAAAGAGGTTCCTATTCACTCTCTTCTGTCATTGAGCACAGGTATTGATATAACTTATTTACACTTTACTAGTTTTATTCCTCTGGGGTATAAATCAGCAGGA